GTACTCCCCAGGCAGGTTAAACTGGGTAATAAGGGATTGAAGCCCCTCGGGCGTCATGGTCGAGGGCCCAAACTTGTCTAACATCCGACCTCGACGAGAGGTGGATGCCAAACTGCCCGAGGCGACTCGGCATACGGGCTCGAACTCTTCCTCAAGTTCTACCTTAGGTTCGCTAGGACCGTCGGGGGATGCAACTCGGTTTGTAGAACCTGCATCGGACCCCCTTGAAGAACTGTCTGAGCTATCTGAGCTAGACATCGGGAGGAGAAGATGGATTCCAGGAAAGTACTCACCCGAAAAAAGGCTTGAACGGACTACGGAAACTTGAAACACGAGCTAAAATCTTGAGTGTGAACTAAAAGTCTGGACGCGAGCTGAAAACTTGGACGCAAGCTCAAGAAGCAAAGCGCAGAAGTGACAAAGCGACTGGGGTCCCCCACTATTTCTACTGACAGTAACCGAGAATCAACGGCTTAGATCAAAGCCAATCCGATGGCCCGCAGTCACGCTGACCGCACGTCTCCTGAGATTGAGACGTGACTGGCCACACGTCTCTCGAAACTGAAAGCGCATGTCTCCTCACATTAAAGACGGCAGCGGCACGTTTTCAAATTTGAAAAGACGCCTGCTGTCACATCCCCTAGCGGCGCGCTTTTTTGAAATAAAGTGCGCGATGTCACGTCTCCCAGTGGCGCGCTTTTTGAATTTTTGAAATAAGGCGTGCGATGTCACGTCTGCCAGCATTTGTAGGTAGGTCGGCGCGTTTCCCGTCTTTTGGGTGCTCGAGAAACCCAAAGAACCCTGACAATGCACCCCGCGCTATCAGTCAACCAAAATTCGAAGTGCGGGACAAATCCACCTGCCACCTCACGAACTCCCTGTGCCAGGGCAAGACCCTTAGCACGAGGAGTGGGGGGCAATTGATGAAGGAAGATTTGGCCCGACCTCGTAATCACTCAACACGTGGCAAAGGCAACAGGTCGGCACAACAGCGCGCCTAAGGCGCGAGCACCGAAGGGAGGAACCAGCAGTCTGAATTCCCTACAAGGAGCCCGAACTCTCCCTTAGGCCCCGAGCCTCACACAAGGCAACGGCCCGAACTGGCCCACCCCATGGCAGTTCGGGACACTTCCCTATCCGAACTCAAGACTTCACCTCGCTCACCACTCCAGCACTTCGCCTCCATGACGCTGAACTGAACAAACGTACCATATCTGACACCGAGGAGGTCCGTATCCAAGGGCGGTGCACCTGACTGATTTGGGATCTGACGCTTGACAGCCGCACTTCAACGGCCACCTGCCACCGCCACCTGCCACCGTCGTCGCCAGTCGYAGAGACGGCTCCGACAAAGAGAGCAGTGGCGGTTCTGTCCAGCTGAGGGGATGACGCCCGAACTGGTAGGAGCTCAGAGATAATCATACCCGACTTGACAGAAGCTTAGAAGTGAGTGCACGAGGTGGTTATAAAAGGCTCCCTACCCCCCAAGAACAAGGTATGTGAACTTTGCGCCATCTGGTTTTATCCTGTCTTTGAGAGAATTCTAACTTGAGCTTCGGAGCAATCTCACCGGGTTCTCCCCGGAGTTTCCTCATCTTCTTCGTTTCAGGTTCCCTGTAGCTCCGTTCAGAGGCAAGGTCGTTGACAGCCAGGACCGGCCGGATTGCGCACCATCAATTTTTTATTCCAAAAATACCCTTATCACTTTTTTGTACAGAAAACAAAATTGACTAAATATAGCCAATAGAGTGGTTGCCCGTGTCTTGCTAGGGACAAAAATGGTATTTTTATTTTTATTTTCTTTTGATTAAATTTATTTAAATGAACATTAGGGTCGACACTATCATTTTCCACTCTCATCTAATGGAAGATTGATTAAATCCATAGTAAATTATAAGTGGTATTTTAGTAAAATACAAACTATAGGGTAAATTTTAATAAATACATGAAACTATAAGGGGTGTTTTAGTAAATGGCCATTTCTATTATTTAGCTTTTGCTTAACAAATCCCATGCATCGCACGGGTCCCCGCTAGTACATGTATATGATCCGTCTAGGGTTGGGTTGGAATAAGGACAGGTCAGTCCCAGGCCTGGCCCAACTTGAAAAATTAAAAAGCCATAACTTTTGGGCTTAGGCCTAGCCCAAGACCAAAAAGTCCAAGCTCAATTCATGTAAAATTGTGGGTTGGGTCGGTTYAGGTAGGGGTGTCAATGGATTGGACCCAATCCAAACCAAAATCAATTTGGACAGATTGGACGAACCAACAAGACATATTGAATTGGACCAGTCCAGACTTAGTGGTCCAAAGTATTTATTGGATTGGATTGGACCTGGTCTATCCGTAATTACTTTATATTGTACAGGTGCAAGTCAGGCGGGTTGGGCCAGGTTTATGATCAACCCAAGCCTGGCCCTAAAATTTGGGCTTAAGGGCCGAGCTCGGACCAAGCCCGAGGTCAAGCCTAATCTTCTCAACTTGAGCCCAACCCACACTATAATTTGATGTACTTCGATTGGGCTCGAGCCCAGGCCGGGCTCAAGTTGGTCAATGAACCCACTATAAAATTATACATATATATGTATTTATGCAAACATGTATACATATATTTATGTATATATGTAAATATGTATGTAAAATTTACATACATATATATATATATATATTTATGTATATATGTAAATATGTATGTAAAATTTACATACATATATATATGTATGTATGTATGTATATATGATTGTGTATAGTTGGTCGGGCTTGGGCTGGGTTTGGGCTACCTAAGGGCTAAACTTGGGCTTGGCCCGAAAAATAAAAAAATCCAACTTCTTGGGCCCGAGCCCAGCTCGAGGATAAAAAATCCAAGCCCAGCCCATGTAAAATTTCAGGTTGGGCTGGTTCGGGCTTGGACTAGGCCTGCCCAAGTTGCACCCCTATTATATTGGATTGGGTTAGATTGAGACAATATTTGGTCCATTGATAGAAGATAAGAATATAGATGTCAATGGACCAGGTTTGGGTTAAAACCAATCTAAACTAAAACAAATTTGAACCGGTTGAATCGTCCAGACATTGAATTGGATTGGTCAAAAATGGTCCAAACCCAGTCTAATTAACACCCCTAGGTTTATGCTCAGATTGGGCCTGCCCAAGTTGTAATTTTATGCCCTGCACGACTATGACATGACCTGCATACTACTTACTATAGTATCGGGTCGTGCCTGGCCCATAGGCTAGCACACCTATGGCTCATAAGGGTCCGTGTACTATTTTATTTAAATTTCATTGTATTCTTTTTTCAATTTCATTTTATTATAACATTAAAATTCATATAAAATAAAGTTTTTAGATTTTTTTCCAATTTATTAACCATCTTATTTTTTTTTTCAAATTTTCTTAAAAAAACAAAATTCGTGTTAGCCCGGCACGGCCCACGTTACAGGATTACAACTATATAAAAAAGGRAAAATTCCCGATTAGTACCTTGTACTTTGGCTCGAGTGACAATTTGGTCCTTGAACTTTAAAATGCAATATTCCAATACCCGAACTTTCGAAACGTGATAATCCAATACTTGTCGTTAACTAGCCACTAAATTACATATAAAAAAATAAAAATACCCTTGAAGTATCATCTAATATTCTTTATCAACCATCTACTAAAATCAAAACCATCAAATATTTCATCCATTTTAATTTTTCCCTCTAAAAGATAATCAACCAAACATCAAATCGAACAAGAATAATCTATTGAGAGGGGGGAGAGAGAGTAAAGAGGAGGAGAGAGAAATCATTATAGAGGGGGAGGGGCCGGAGCGTGACTCTCAAATCTATTATATATAAATATTTTTTTATCCATCTCTCTCCTAAATCGCTACCCCTCCCCCCCTCTCTGTGTTAACCACTCTTTGGAATTCTTGATTGCTCTTTGCTACCTTCTTTACTCGGGAAAATGTTTCAGATTTTCAAGAAGGGGCTTTAATTGGATTGAATTTTGACTGAAAATGGATGGGGATGCATTTATAGGCATTGGCAACGATATGCAAGTAGATAACTAGGTGTTGCAAACGTTCCAAAGAGCTTTGTTCAAGTTCAGAACATCCTAGATCATAACAGGTTGCTCATCAACGAGATAAACCAGAACCATGAGTCGAAGGTCCTGGACAAGTGGTTGATCTCCATGTTGATCTTTCGAGCTCCTTTACTAAATCAGTTGAAGTTTCATCTGATGGGGATTCAAATGAGATATTAAAATCGGACGAAAAGCTAGGACACAAAAGAATTATGCCCGGCTAGGAACTAAAGCCTTGGGCACGCCGCCTGCCTACACTTCGCAAACTCTCTGTACTAATTCTTTTACACCTGGGAATGAAGAAATTTTCAATATCAATGCAAGTAGATAGGATTATGTAACTCCTGTATCTATACTGGGGAAATTTTCAATATCCAAAGATCGCATTTGTGGTGTTTATTTGTGACAGAATTTACGCTTTGTTTATAAAAATTCAGGTATTATTATCACATTTTAAAATTCGGATACTAAATTGTCACTAGAGCCAAATTACAGGTACTGATCAGAAATATTCCCTATCAGAAAAAGAACATGAGTGCGTCTAGTGAGGACGAGACTTCGCTTTTCTTTTCCGCAGATCGGTCGATCGTTCTCGCCTTCACTCTTTCGTGGTTAGTTCCCCCCCCCCTCTCTCTCTCTCTTTCTCCATCTCTTATGTGTGTTGTTCTGATTTCTTTTTCTGGAATCACAGTAATATTATTTCGATCAGATAAACCCTAATTGAATCTGAAGTTGCGAGGGCCCAAATTGAGCAGTTCGTCAGCGTCAGTGACAAAAATGGATGCAATGTAGAGAGCTTCATTGGGGAAACTAGAGTTATTGTTTGATCACAAAGCGCAAGCAACTATTCTCTTTTGGTTTTTATTGTTGATTTGAATATACTCTTCTAATATGGAGATTTCATTGCCACTTCTGCTGATGGGTTATCTAGATTTGGGTTCTTTTCTTTTTGGGAAGTTATGCTTATTTGTCCAATTCACTGTTACTGGGGCTTCGGGACATTCATTGATTCAGATATAAGTTTGTGAAGATTGGATCTTGTGAATTTAGAGTATTTGATTGCGAAAAGGTGAAGAGATTAAGAATTGTCTTCTGGAATTGGGAAAATTTATTGGCTTTAGTTTGAGTCAGGAAATTCAAAACTGAGGGTAACAGAAAAGTTCGGATTTGAAGTTAAAGTTTCAAGAATTGGCAAAGTTGTTTGAAATTCCAAAAGTTTCACTTTGAAAAGCATTTCGAATCGTGCAGGGGCATCGGATATTGGATATAACTTGAAGGATTTTCCATGAGCTTTAAGCAATAAAGAAATTGGAATTTTGACATCGGAGAAGTAGATTGAGAGTGCTTGAGAACTCCAAGGAGGTTGAGTTTTGTGAGGGATTGAAGAACTTTGGAATTTAAAAATTGATCCAAAAAAAAAAAACTTTGGAATTTAAAAAGATATAAACGTCATGTTCTATGGGGCGATTGTGTGGGATCCTTTGCTCATTGTCTCACAGATTTTGTGCCTTCAATGTTTATACTATCTTACTCTTGGACTATCCATGTTCATTCTTGTTGGGACCCGTGTATCTCGAATGAGCCTTGTCTATTTCTTCGATTATGCTACTCTGACTGCTTCTACAGTCACTGGCTGGTGTGTCATTACTTCATTTTTACTCAGCGCACTTGCAGGGTAAGGATTTCATTTTTTTGTCCTTTTTAGTTTTCAATTAAATTTTATTTCCTTATTTTAGTGGGCACATGTCTTCTTCATATTATCTTGATGCATTGTCTGTCAGAATATTTGAATAATACCTGCCATTTGATTTTACTGTTCTCTTTTGGCTTGTTTATCATAAGACTTCATATGTTGTAAATTCATGGGGTGTGGGTGGTAGGCTGGGAGAATGTTATATTCAAATATCAACATTTAAGGACATGCATCTGTTCATTTGGATACCAAAAATTTATGCGTTTTTCTTAATGGAAAATGCATGCATGGAATGAATTAGCTAGTTTTTTTTTTTTTGATAAATGGTTTTTGAATTAGCTAGGTTTATTCATTAAGACATTACCTTTATAGATTTGGAGTGCAAGAACTGCAGAACTCATTTATGTCTCATTCTTGTATTGAATTTTTTCTGATTTTGGTATAAAAATGGGAAACTAGATGTTGTTAGAAGAGTTCTTGACTATGACTCTACTTGTGACAATGTGGAGTTGTTTACTGGTGAAGCTTGCATAATAAAATGAAATAATTAATTAATTGTTTAAAACTAAGTTCATTTCTCCTATTGATAATAGTAGAAGTTCAAGACTGCTATCAGTCTTGAACCCTAATAGATTTCAGGTTCGAAAAAGGAGAAAAAAGGTATAGAGGAGAGAGGAGAAAGAGTAGAGAGAGAGCAGTAGAACACAAGAATTGAAAGGAAGGACAGAATCTGAATGTTCTGCCGCCGCCACTTCTATTTAGTATTTATA